CGGGCAGGAAAGGGGATTCATGCTCTTGGAGACACATCGTGTGTGGCATGTGGTTTCAGGGTAGGCTAACTCCGTTCCGAACAACCGCTTGTCTCTACCGTCCCTCTCGAACTCGACGACACCACACAGCTCCAGGCCGAGACCGTCACGATGACCAACCTGGAGTGGTACCAATTCAATACCCGGACAATGACAACCTGCCCTACATGTACAACGAATATGCCTGGAATCACTGCGCGTGAGTATGCGTGAAATATGCACCAGGACAAGTTTCTAGATTGGGTAACTATCACCGTCTTGCGTCGGCCTTGTTGGGCATATCAAGGCATTGGACCCATGAAAATGAGGACGTGGCACCGATGGGGCCAAAGTCGATGCGACATCAAGCTCTGTTCGTCTTGCACCCCACACAATACTATTCCTATTCGTCGCGATTGGGTGGCGATGGCAACACACGATAAAATCATGTCCCACCCGCCTCGACGAGAGCGACGGCGGCGGCAGCAGGAGCACCAACCAAGTTCTCACCGCGCTGCCGCTGCTGCTGCTCGAAGACTTCATGGAGTCGCAGGGAAGAACAGCGTGCAAGGAGTTCTGATCGACGTGGGTCGAGCCGAACTCGGAGAGGCTGTCGAGGCTTATCTCCGTGAATAACGGGAGGTATCCCCTCATCCGGCTCTGCAATAAGCTGGCGCAGAGGATGAGCAAGACGCACGACTCGTCCTTGTGCGGGCAGATGCACATGTTCCTAGGCAAGGCGCTGGATTTCTTCGAGCGGAGCGCCGTCAACGTCTCGGGCAGCACCAATCTCAACAACGTCACCAGGCTCGAGGTGCGGATGTTGTGCACTTAGAAGTACACGCGTTACCCGAAGCGCACCGTTGCACGCTACAGCAATACCTTTACTTCGCGGAATTTTTTTGTAGACGCAGTGGGGTCACGTTGGGTCTGCAGAGTCGGGCTGCTGCTGGGCCGGGGGCAAGCAAGCCCCCCCTACATTATTTAATGTCTCCGCCCTCTCTACATTGTGGGGCGGCACATTTTCTCCTGCTGTCTGCGGATTTATGGCATACACACCTGGAGTGATGTCCTTTGGGATTGTAAGAACATCGCCTTCGGTACGATCTGCTGAGGCTTATGCGCGTTTCGCCTGGGGCCTGTCTTGTCTATCCCGAACGGCTTGTGTCGTGCACTACGCACAGTTTGGTTGTGGCAAAGATAACGTGCCGTCTCTGTTTTCTGTTTCCTATGTCTCGTCCCCTGTCCCCATTTTTTCTTTTTCAACCAAGCCGCGGCGCGCAATATATCATTCCTACATGTCACCGCTGCTCCGTCCTCCCCTATATTGTACTTCTTTCTCTTTTTGGCGGTAGCCATAATGGTGGTAGAGTGGATCATGTTGTGCGGGGTGGAGAACCCTCACTCCGTGAAAGGGGGATGATCGCACCACGTTGTGTTAATATGGTCAAGCACCCTCGAGGCAGTTACACAGTGCTCATTCTGAACGTGAAAGCACCCTAAAATAAATCAAGACTGTCTCAGGAAGTGAAAGCACCAGAAAATAAATTGAGTCATACGCAGCTGTCATCCGTACGCAACGAAGCAAGCACAAGATGCCGAACAACGTTAGCAGGATGCAGCGCACCCTTCATGCGACTCGCCGAATATCTCACGGCGCTTCGCGCTTGGTGATGTGAGAGCCTGGTCCGGTGAGAACCCGGCGTGCTCCGTCCCGGCTTTGTAGGGATGCGAGGTCAATGGTCT